GGAGCTCCCCGCAGGTCTGACCGGCACCGCAGCCCAGGGGTGGGATAACAAGGGCAGGGGGAGCTGGGAGAGGCCGCCAGCTTCTGAACGGTTGCCAGGGCCGAGAGGGTTTGGGGCTAGTCAGGGCAGCCCCACGCTGCCCACTGGTCTGGCCCCAGAGGCACTGGGGAAAGCCTGCCCATGGGGACATTCTCCCTAGAGCCTGGTTCCCGCGCTGAGGCCAGGCGGGGGTGTTAGATGAGGCCCCCTTCTTTTATACCTAGCTGCTAACGCCTGTAACTGAGAACCGTCTGTTTCCCTGTCCAGATAACTGTCCAGTCCTCTCGCGAACCTCACTGAGCTCCGGGCCTCGGTCAGATCTTGTGGCAGTGAGTTCCACCGGCTAATTACCCGATGTGCAATAATTGTCTTTCCTGGTTTCAGGCAGCTGCCACTCACCGGCCCCTTGTCCTTGTGTGATGATGAAGGGTAAACATGGGCGCTCCTGCTCTGTCTGAGACCCCTGTGTCATTCACTGGTTGTTCCACCGGTCTTCCCCCCAAGGTAGCAGATAGAGCACTGGAATGGGCCTCGGGAGACGTGGGTTCTATTCCCAGCTTTGCCACTGGCCTGCTGGGCAGCCATGGGCAAGTCACTCTGTGCCTCAGTTTCCCCATCTGACAAATGATCCTGACCAGCCCCCTCCCCCGGGAAGCACGGTGAGAGCTACTGAGGAAAAGTGCTGGATAAGAGCTAGGGATCATTATTAGCTGGGTTGTCACCGTGCCCTCTTTAGAGTCTCCCCCATGGAAGTCTCTACCTGGGCTCGCTGCTCTCCGACCCCCGGGGAGTTCTGCCATTCCTGTGCTGACCTTGCATGACCCCCACTCTACCCGGCCTTGCCTGGCACCTCCTCCCCGCATTGACTTGACAGGCGAAGGGGACCCTCTCTCGCCTCGGTTGCTGGGGAGAGGAGTCAGCCCTGGCCACAAGGCCCTGCAGCTGGGGGCAGCCCCCTCTGCGCTAGGCCAGGCAGCGTGGCCTAGGGCCTAGAGCAGCTCAACCGGGGAGCTGGGTCCGGGTTATGCCACCGGCCTACTAGGTGAGTCACTTGCCTGCTCTGGGCCTCAGTCTCCCCACTTTGAACTCCACTGGGGGGGAGTGAGATGGAGGAGCCAGGCCCTTCTTTACTTCTCAGGGAGGCTGGTCCCGCAAACGCCCCTCACCAGCCCAGCTGCTGCTGTTCACCTCCTTGGCCCCGTTCCTTCCCCAGCCCGAGCCTCCAAGGAGCGTGGGCCAGGGGGGCAGACAGGCAGGGCCTGCACGCCAGGAGCCAGGCCACTGCCCCGGCCTGGGCCCAGCCTGAGCTTCCCCGGGAACCCAGCAGCCCCGGTTCCAGCCTCTCCCGGATGGATCCTGGAAGCCACCCGCTGTTTACTCCGTGATTGCCACACACCGCAGCCGAGGTGGGCTACTATCCATTGGCCAAGCTGCCTCGGGGCAGGGACCTACGTGCCGCACTGTAGCCTCGCCCCCACCCGCCAGCCCCCTCCACGCCAAAGGGCCTTCCTGCAAAAGCGGCCCTCCCAGGCCCCCAAGGGATCAAAGCCCGGCGCCCCCGAAGGACAGGCTAGCAGGGGGCCTGCTGCAGGAGCCAAGAGGGCAGCCCACACCCCTGGCACGGGTCCATCTGCGCAGGACTTAGGAGCCTCACCAAGACAGTCCTGGAGCTCAAGAGCAGGCCTCACTTAGCCAGGGGCAGGGAGCTGGGTCACCTCTACAGGCAGGCTGGGCCCAGACCACGCAGAGACCCCCCCGTCGCACTGGGCTCCGAGCAGACTGGCAGCCATGGTTGATCTGCTGAGATATTTCGAACACACCCATCACCCTGGTATCTGAGCTCCACCAGGTTCCGGAGCAGCCCCACTTCGGCACCCGCGGGGCAGCTGCTGTGTCCCAGCAGAGGGGCTTAGTCCTCAGGCCTGGACACGCCCAGTGTGCCAAAGTGAGAATTTGCTGCAGTATTTTTATGAGCCTGGCGTGCCTCAGTTTCCCCAGGCATTGGGTGGCTGCCCGGCGCGGGGAAGGAGGATTCCATTTGCTCTCGGGGAAGACGAAGGGACCTCAGTGCAGGCGGGGTTCTGGCTGACCTGGGGACTGAGTGAGAGGGAGACGAAGTTCACTGCAGGTCGCTCTGGGCTACCCTCGACCCTTCCTTTCTCCAGGCCAAGCTCGGGCCGTCCTGCGCCGCCTTCCAGGGGACCCACCACGGCCGGGCGCGGGGGCCGCCTCCCGGCAGAGCGTCCCCGGCTCCGTGCGACTGGCCCAGCGGAGCTTGTGGTGCGAAGCAGGAGCCCCCCGGGGCTCAGGCCGGCTGCGAGGCCCAGCGCGCCCCCCCGGGGATCTGACCCAGCCAAGGGGTTCCTCCGGGAGGCTGCTCCGAAGCCGGGGGCGTAGCCAGACACCCCGCCGACGGAGCCTGGCCGACAAGCCAGGCAGCCCGTTCCGGAGCAGCCCTGCGGTGCCCGGCTCCCCGGCTCCTCTGGGGGGCGGGCTCCTGGCCGGCATTTCCAAGGCCCCCGATCCGGCACCCACGCCGAATTCACGCCTCTCAAAGAGCCTCCAGAGACAGGTGGAAACCCAGCGGCCGGGGCTGCAGCAGGAAGGGGGGGTCCCTCTCTATACAGCTCCGGCAAAGACCCACCCACACCCCCTCAGCGCCCTCACTCCCGGACGCCTCACGCCCTGCACCCCTCCAGGGCACGTTCAACATCTGGGCCCGCCCCAGACTACGCCTCTGAGCACCCCACAATCCTGAGCCTGTTTCTCCACCTCCGGAGGGACGGGCCGAGCTGCTGTCCCCAGTGAACACATGGGAACGGAGGCCCCCAGAGACGGGGTGACTCCACAGACGCCTATGACCGAGCCCCCGGCCCCTCTCTCTGTAGCGAAGAGGGGACAATCTCTCTCCACACCTCTGGGCAGAGCCCACCTGGCATCTCGTGTTGGTTTCTGGGCACCCGACTAATACGGAGCATATTCTCCGGGCGCCTAGAAGCGCCAGTCAGGGCCCGACCCTGTTGTGTCAGGCGCTGGACAGACACGGAACCAAAAGAATCCCCACCCCAAAGCGCCGGCGGTCCAAGTAGCAGATGTAGAAAAACCGGCAGGGGCTCCCAGCCGGGCAAGGCAGGCGGCTGGGAGCTGAGGTAGAAGGAAAGACGGAGAGAGCTAAATCCATGCGGCTCAGCCAAGCGGCGAGGGAGGGGGCAGCGGGACGCCGCAAAGTCCCTGTCTGTTTGCAGGTCTTTGGGAAGCGGGGGGCGGGGGGGTTGAGGCAGGTCGTTATGGGGTTGCCAGACTTGCATTAAAGATGGAGCCAGTTTGCCAGGAATGGAACATTTTCAGGGGGTGTGAAACGCCAGGGCCAAGATTATCCCAGTTGGGGGGGGGGGGGCTCAGCTGGGGCACCCCAAACTCACTGCTCAGCTTGAGACACCCCCAAAGGTCCCGAGTCTGGGCTAGCGCCAAGCACCGCCTCACGGCAACCCAGGCCGCTTTAAGGGGTCTCAGCCTGGAGACGCCCCCAAAAGCCAGTGACTTCCGACAGCCACGGAGCTAACAGGTGGGGGGGGGGGCATTCCAGGAGACGCTCCCAGCAGCCGGACCTCTCGGGGGGCAGCTGGGGTGGGGAAAGCCCCCTTACTAGGCGGCACTGAGGCCGGGTACCAGCGTGGGCGTGCAGATGGCAGGGTGCCCACCTGGCGCGCTCTCCCGCTGGCGCAAGGGCAGACCCCAGCAGGGAACATGGGTCGGCCACACACGGCAGCCCCAGCCCCTGCTCACTGGAGGGGCAGCTATGCCAGCCCCCAGCCGGGCACGGGCGACCTCTAGGCACGTGTGCGGGGGGGTGCTGAGCCAACCCGCCAGGGCAGCTCCTCCCCATGCCCAGCACCCACGGGCTGCCCGCTCTGTGGCATCGCTACTCCGGAGCCCTGGGCGCAGGGTATTTCCCCGCTGGTCCTCCCGGGGGGGAGAGGGGGGGGCGCTCCAGCTCCCCTCCCCCTCCTCCAGCGCCAGCACATGGCGCTGAATGCAAAGAGGGGTGATTGCTGCCAGCCTGGGGCAGGGTGCCAGAGTGGGTGGAGCCTTCCCCAGCCCAGGGGCATCACCAAGAGCGCCCCCCCCAGCCAAAAAATCAGCGGCGGGGGGGGGGGGGAAGCGTGTTTCTAAATGCAACTAATGACCGAGGAGCAAGAGCAGGCTGGGGAGGGCCGGTCCCCGGGGCTGCGCCGGGCCAGGCGGACAAACCACTGCAGTGGGGGCGAGGGGGCTGGGTGAGCCCCGCAGAACCGGCTGCAGGAGCCTATAAATACGCGGCGAGCCCAAGCCGGAGAGGGGGTGGGGAGGATCCAGCGCCGCAGGGGAGCCGAGGGCGGGGGGGGGGGGGGGGGTCTAGGGTTTCTGGCACAAGGGACTCGCTGAAGGGCTAATGCCATTCTCCAGATGGTTCCCATTCCTCCTGCATAATGCGTCATGGCTGCGAGCTCCGGCCGGCAAGCGAGCCCCCAGCCCCCCCGCCCTGCTGCCACCCGCGGCCGGGCGAGGGCTGCCCACTGCCCAGCCCCGGCACATGGCAAGTCGCAGGATGCCCAAGGGGGGGGGGCAGCTGGCAACCAGAGCAGCCTGGGCCAGGCTCCCCCCACACACACACACACTAGGGAACCCGCAGCACGGTGGCACCCCAGAGCCAGCAGCCACCTTCCAGCCACCCCCGCGGGGCTTCCCTCCCCCAGCCCGTGCGCCCAGGGCGCAATGGAGAGCGCACCCCCTGCCCCGCACCCGTGCCGGGCGCGGGGGGGGGGGCGCAGTACCCCCGGCTCCTCCCATCAGGCCCTGTAAAGGGGGGAGGGGAATGACCCCCAGATCCCCCCCCGAGGGGCGCAGGCTCCCCCCCCCGCCCCGCAGCCAGTGCGCCCCGGCCCCGGGGAGCGCCGCTGGTTCCAGACGCGGCTCCTTACTTGCCAATTTCCTCGTACAGCTGGTACTCGTCGGTGAAGCGGGTGCAGGTCACGGTGGTTGCCATCGCGGCTGCCGCTTCGCTCCGCAATGAGCTGGGCTCCGGCTCCGCCTGGCAGCGGGGGAGGGAGGGGCTGGCAGGGGCGGGGGCAGGAGCCACCCAGCCCGCTGCGCTCCGAGGCTCCCTGCGAGCGGCGATTCCCCCCCCCCACTCCCACCACACATGCACCCCGCCGCCGGCCCCCCCGCCCCACACCGGAGCAAGGGACTCGGGGGGGGGGGGGGAACGGGCACGGGCGACCTCTGGGTGCAGGGGTCGCTGGGCTGGCCGTACCCCAGCCCTTCGGGGACCCCCGCAGCCAGGGGAGGGGTACGGCCAGCCCAGCGACCCCTGCACCCAGGGTATGGGGTGGTGTCAGGCCCCACATCGTTAGGGGCCCCCCAGCAGAAGCCAAGGAGCCTCCCCATACACAGAGAGCCCCCACTTAGAACCAGCCCCTCCCCATAGAGCACACCCCCCCCCCAAGAGCCCCAGATCTCCTCCCCACTCCCACCCCAGGGAGCCAGAGCCCCTCCCCTGAGACGGAAAGGGGCACAGACCCCTTGGTGCTTGGGACCTGGGCTCTACTTGGAGGGGAGGTTGGGGGAGATGGGGAATGTGGTCTGGTTTTGGCTTGACCGGTCTCTGTTTCTTATTGTGGCCAGCCAGGCAAAAATACAGGCCATGCCCCAGACAGGGCATCTGCCAAGGGCCGGGATCTCTGCTAAGGAGGTGACACCCTGGTTCTGCCCTAGGCCCCTCCCTTCTGCATCAGCCCCTCGCCCCCGGGGCCGGAGGTCATGGGGCTAGGCCATAAAAGGCAATTAAAGTGCAATATAGCACCGCTGCCTGGTCTGAGAGACGGGGGCACACAGGGCCCATCACCCTGCACCCCCACGTGCCAGCCTGTTGCACCTAGACCCAGGGAGCGGTGGAGCCGGGGGCCGCACGGCTGTAAGGGTAGTTCAGGACCACCATCCAGGTTCCTGCAAGGGGAGGTGGGGGTTCACCTGGTCACGGTGGAACTCCGGGCGATGGACCCTCTACACAGTGCCTGAGACAGGGCTAGCCCAGGGCCCGGTCCCTGCCTGTGGAGCAAACTCCCCCTCCACCAACCCAAACAGTGCTGCCAGACCCACCCGGAGCCTCCCCACCCCTAGACACCCACCCCAGAGCCCCCCCCCCCCATGCCCCGAGGCCCCCACTTCTGCTCCAAGTGCCCAGTGCATTCCCTTGACCTTGCCTCCTCCAACAGAAATAGACACCAAGATGCACATTTAAATAAAACAAACAATCCGACCCCAACAAGCCACTCCCCCTGCCACGTCCCTCTCCCCCCGCAAACACCCCCACAGATGTGTCCTCAAGCATGACTGGGAGGTGCTCAGATCCTACAGTAGCGAGAGTGGGAGAAGAGCCCCTGTGCCAGCAGCCAAGCTATCCCTCGAGATCGGTTTGGGAATCATTCACGCTTCGGGGCTGCTCAGCAAGGGCACAGAGCAAGGGCTCAGCGAGGGCACACTTCTGCCCAGGGGCCCCAGATGTATGGGCTGACTAGCCCTGAGTGGCCAGGCCCTGTAGTCCCAGTTGTTCCCAGGCTCTGGCCAGGGGGTTGCACCATCCTAGTTGCAAAAGGGGCAGAGGCATCCTCATGGCCGCCACACTGAACCGGGTTAGAGCCAACGATCTGCCCTGGGTTGAGACCACAGCCGCTGGGCTGGGCCCTGACCCATAGACAACCATCATTTTGGTTGCTAGAAATCCGAACTACTCCCACGGCGCTCTTATCGGTAGATCTCCAAGCACTTTACAAGAAGGTCAGTATCCTTATTCTCATTTTATAGGGGCGGAAACTGAGGCACAGATGGCTGGGGAGGGGAGTGACTTGCCCAAGGTCACTGACAGGGGAATGGCAGGGCTGGGAGGAGAATCCAGGTCTCCTAAGTTCCGGTCCACTGTCTTGTCCAGCCCCCCCGCCCCATTCAGCGTGGACACCATTGCGAATCAGTAACAGTGGGACTTGTATGGCAATAGTGGGGGTGGGGAGGAGTGTTCACACTCCAAAGGGTGTGAAGGCAGATTCCTGTTATAGCTTCTGTGACAAGGCTCAAGGGAATGCTGCTGGCTTTAGACCTAGAAAATTTCCACGTCCACAGTCAAGGGAAGGAGAAAAAGCTCTGTAACGAGACCCACTCAGACCCAGCTCGGCTCCATCAGGGCACCTGGGCTGATCACAACATGGCTTAGCACCACAGCGGCCTCTCCTGACCTGGCAAGTCCTGACTCGGCCAAGCTGGCTGTCCCGGTCAGGGAGAACCCCTGTGCGGCGAGCTGGTTTCCAAGGCCAGGCCGGCATAGCTGGAGAGCGGGGATGTCTACAGAGAACACAGCCCAGGGGTCCCTCCTTTGCGGGTGATGCTGCCTAAGGGACATCCTGCCAGCGTCATCTGGAGCAGGAGATGATGGAGCCAGGGCAGAACGTGCCATGTAGGGAAAGGACCGAAAATGAAGGATGCAGAATTAGCCCAGCAGGAAACTCCTGGGGGAAATCGTGCCAGTTGACATGGAGCCCAGAGCCCCACCGCCATAAGTCTGCATGTCTGATGAACCATGTAGCCCTGGAGATGAGGGTGTTGGGGGGGGGGGGGGAGGACGGTCACCCACCAGCTGGTGCATCCCCTCATGGCTGAGCAGGGTGAGGAGGCTTTTTCATCTCCGGCACCCCTGTCCATGGTCACGCCGATCCAGGCTTTAAACCCCAGGAGTCAGCCCCCGCCCCAGAACCACGAGATCAGCTTAAAAATCAGAAGACTTTAAAATGACGACATTAGAGGGTCTTTCGACTGGGTTCCTGGGCATGGAGCCTGGAGGGTTCACCTTTGCAAGCTCTTCTCCACAACGAGGAGAGAGATGCTTGCCTTTTTAAAAAATTTAAGTGGAGAGTCTCACGCAGTCACCTGACTCCAGGAGCTGGGGCTTTAAGAAACACAGCAGTGATCACAATGGAACCCAAAGGAACTGAGATGAGAGGCACAGCCCAAAGCGAGGGAATCTTACCGGCTCTGTGTGGAGGGATGCCCTGAATGCTCCTGGGATGTGTCCCCGTCATTTGCTACACAGCAGCCTCTCCACTCAGCACACAGAGGCCTGCGTCCTCAGGGGTATTTCCGGGGGAGCCAGGCTCCTAAGCACCTTTGAGGATCGGGGCCAGGCTGCCTTCTTTCCGGGAGCCCATGTGCCTTCAGCTGGGTGCCAGACATGGGACATGCTGTTGGCACCGGGAGTTTTTTGGCCAAACGATTCCCATTGATGCAGCTCGTGCATCTCATCCTTCAAGCCAGCCACTGTGTGACAGAAGCCACTGGATTAGTGTGTTCTTCTACCCAGCATCTGTCTTGTCTTGCCTCGTAGATTAATAATAAATATCTGTTTCTTCTCTAGCCCTTCCTGTCACTAGATCTGTTACTCCTCCCAGTGCCCCTGGGACGTAGGGAAGCGTTAGTATCTGTAAAATGGGAAACTGAAGTACAGGGAGGCTAAATGACTTGCTCAAGGCCACAGGAAGTCCGTGACGGAGCCGGGCATGAGCGCTGGTCTCCTATGTGCTCTCACCACTGGGTCGCTCTTCCTCCTTGGAAGCGTGGGGGACAGGGACTGTCTGCTCTGCGAAGGTGCCCTGATCGTGGCTGGTCCCTGGGCACTCCAGTAACAAACAGGATTCCGTGCAGCCAGGAATCAGCAGCGGGTCCGACCGGAGGCCGGCTAATCCCTAGCTCAGCTTCTCCCTCCTGAGCTGAAGGAAGCCTTGAGTACATTCAAACGCTGTCCTAGTTTCACTGAAAACGGGACTGAAACCCAATTTCATTAAACCGGCGCCCAAGGCCATGCGGACTTAAATGTGGCTGGCTCCAGGCGTATTCCAGTTTGGCGTAAGTCACTTGGGAATTGATTTAAATGACCTCAAAGCAAGTCACTTCAGGAAACAGGTGCAAGTTAAAGCGTTGCAACCCTCTCGGACAGACGAGGCCTAAATTGTCCTCTGTAGGGACCAGCCACTAGAGGGCGGGATGCTGCTGTTTGCCAGGCAGCAGGAGCAAGATGGGAAGCAGGATTCCTGGGTTCTATTCTGGCCCTGGAAGGGGAGTGATGTCTAGTGGTTAGACCAACAGTGACCCATACATAGACTTGGCACATTCACTCTAAGCAGTGTCACACGAGAGATGTGAAACTCAGGTGTGTCGTATGAGAGATCTGGATTCTAACCCCAGTTCTACCAGGCCTGCCCTCGTGCATCCTCTCGACACCTTTATTGGGGGAAAAGGGTGGTTTCCTGGAGCGCAAGATCTTGCTCAGGAGCAGGGATGATGGCGGGCACAGAAGCAAACAGGAGCGTGTGGAAGAGAGCTTAGAACTCACCGTCTCCCGCGTCGCTTGACCCCTATTCAGGGCAAGCCCGGAGAACAGAACGCATGGCAGTCACATTCGGCTCAGGGCTCCCCCAGTTGCTTGTGCCCTTCAGTATGCCGGCTATCGGTCTCTCCCCCGGACGCGCCCGTTGCATCTGCTCCTCCCACCACTAGGCTGCATCTTCATAAACAGGCCTGGGCTGCAATTACCCAGCTAGGCCGCCCAGTGTAGCGATCAGCCTTGTAAATTCCCAGTGCAGCTTCCTACGTAGACTGTCAGCGGCGGGGGCCAGGGACAGCACCTGGCGCAGTTCGGTGCCGCGACCATAGCACACCTAGTAATCTCTAATTCCGTCTGCATCCATCTTTGACAGCCCACGCACTCGGGGGTGGCGGGGGGGGGCAGCTTGTACTGTCCCCGTGACCACCTGTGCAGAAGGGCAGCCTGTTATGGGCTGGCCCACGGCTGTGCTACATTGAAGAGGGCTGTAAGTTGCCGCTAAGATCCGTTATGGAGCCCTGTGGCCCACATAATAGGGCCCGGCTTCTCATGGACCTAAATACCTTTGAGGATCGGGGCCTCCGGGGGCCTCCAAGCAGACCCAGGCATGTGTCGGTGCCCAAAAGAAAGGCACATGTGGGCGGAGGGGCAGTGCTTAATACAGAACGAAAGAGGGGTCGGGGCTG